CAAGATACAGATTAGTTAATCGAGATCCTTGTTGAATAAGATTATGCAAAAAAAAATAGGATCAGAATGTTCTTCTGAGCGGATGATGTAGAGATACTTCCTGGACTATGTGGCTTCTTTCATGGTATTTTGCTTGCCTAAAGAAAAAGAACATGTAACTACAAAGCATGATCACTGAAATTATACAAATTCTACGACTTCAAGTTCGTTTGTTAATTTCCTTTTGTACTGCACATAATATAAAGGTCAAGATCTCAATTTTCTTTAGCGAACCCAGTACCATTTTATTAAATAAAGAATGAAAGAAAAAACACTCCTAATACCACAGCAATTATATCAAAGTACTTGAAATTTAACTTAAAACCGCTAATAATACCTGCTCGTATCTACAATGAACACAAAAAAGAAACTGAGCTTAATTGACAGGTACGTATATCGTACAGCATTTAAGAGATAACCTTTAATCTGGTACGCAGAAATTCCAAGTAACGCGAAATAATAATATGTAATATCTTAATACGCTATACTCAAAGTATCAGTTTTACTTTAGCCATTAAGATACGAGCAGCGAATTGGACTATAAATGTCGATGTGGATTTCGATATTGGTAATGTTTATATTTGTTTGCAACTTGCAATTGTGTCTAGGTTTTCTTGTTTCTATATTGGAATAGAAACCTAGCACTACCAATATGGAATGTGGGAGAAATAGTTTCAATCTTTTAATTGCTCAAATATTATTCGTTAATGTTTTAGAAACAAAGTTTGAGTCCAAAACGCCCACTGGTAAACAGCCAGGTTGACATTTTGGAATCGAAGGGAGATGAGGCAATTGACATTTGCTTGGCGAGTGGACAGAAAACAGGAAAGAACAACATTTAAAGTTTACAAATTTTATTCTTCAAAAAAGCATTTCTATTACGTTTAAAAAGAAATAACTATGTACATTCAAAATATCAATTCTTAGCAGACAGATCAAATAACCTTCTTATTTTTGATGGAAGCCCGATACTGGAGTGATCTAGGCTCGTAGACCTTTGGTGGCCAAAGCTAAGCTCCAAGGCCTCAGTGAGGGCCAAAAGAGAAATTGCGGTGGCCGCAAATCTTAAAAAGAATTGGATGCATTAGAAACACGTTTTATGACCTAGGCATCTCCAAGTCTTGCTCTACTAAAAAGAAAGTTATGATTTTGTAGGTTACAATAGTACTTGTTGATCAAATCAAGAAATGACTTAACAAAATAAAATTTATCAGCCAGTATGAAATAAGATAATGGATATAAAAAATCTCCGATGCTTCTGTTGATTTTTTGAAAAAAATGGCATATGGATTTTTAACAGAAGTCACATAACTGGTTCAAGCAAAATATGAAAAATATATGCATGTATAGAAATCATCATGTGAACTCATTTGTACCATGGAGGATGATTCAAATCTTTGCTGATTTCATCCGCTACACAACTTTTAAAAAAATGCTTCGTAAAAAAATGAAGAACAAATCAGACCAAATATTTGCAAAGTATAAATCAAGCTCACCATTCCTGCTAATTGTCATGTATGGTGGCTAACAACAAAAAGGGGAGATTCTAACCCAAAATATTTTCACATGAAGACTGTCAAGGCCAGGAATTTGACTAGAGATGAGCTCCTAAGGCTGAGAATAGTTTGCTTGGTAGATATGCTGATGACCTGCTGACGGTCGTGATGAGTAAGTAGAACGACAAGACATCCCTCGTCATTTCAAATCACAAAATCCAGGAGGCCATAAAGACGTCCTACAATTGTAGGAACGACTGACGATACGGCTCTTAGATCAGTACATGGGAGATTCTGCGACGGTAGATACTGTGATACACACAAAAGGTACCCTCAGTGAATGAAAGGCGTATTGCTGTCAATCTTGACTATCGTATAAATGAGGACAAATAGGTTATTGTTTAACCAACAGCGAAGCAAGCCTTGGTAACTATTTGGTTTTTGGAATTTTACACATCCGATGCAAAGTGTTGTAGGCTGGTGCCGGTATACGACGTAGCATATAAACCGTATGGTAATCAGCCATTGTGGAGTTTCCATCATACTACCTAGTTAGCATATAGCTCGAGGAGGCAATATATAATCACAGTGCGTACACAGAGTACAGGTACCATAAACTAAACAAGCAGATATATTAATTGAAATATATGTGATGGAAGGACAGATGTAATAGATGTTGTACTCTAGTCAACTGAGAATGAGCTTCCTAAACCAACATATATGAAGATGTACATTAGTCCATATTTTTATATATTATAAAACTGTATCCCAAGGAGTTTATGAACTACCAGAGTACGCCCGCGGTTCCACCGGCGTAGAAGCAGTGTTAGGCCATATACGTCAAAAATGAACAGTTTTCGAAGAGCAAGAATTTATAATGTCCAGAATTCACACCACGGGGCTCTAAAGAATCTACGAATCATTAGGCAGGACCGCTTTTAACAACGATTCAGATGCAGACAAGCAGCGAATGGGCCAGACTAATGAATAGTAAATCAAGTAATGTTTATCTGACCTGTCAAAACTACAAAATTTGTCTTCATTGAACGACGTTTTGGTACCAACGGTGATCTTATTGAAATACAATTGACATTTAATTACAATACATTTCATCTATCTGTCTTCCAGGTGACGCCAATTTGTTTTTTCCTTTCATTTTCACATTCCTATACAGTGCGATACTAATATAGTCCGAAAGATCCTGTAAAATCCTAAGATCACGCGAAGCCTTCATTGTAATCTTAAGATGGCCCGACGCAAAACCAGCAAGGCCCGGGAACACCTGGAGTAGGCTTATCCCGCTTCCAAAAGGATATCCAGCCTCCCAAAGTGACAAACAAGCTTGAAGTTATCTGCCGTTTTTAATGCACTAGACACGTCACCCTTAACCCAGAAAAGCCAAGTCCCTCGAGAACGCGAAGACTCACCCAGAACATAACACACCAGATAATTGTTAAGCAAAGGCTATAAACAGCGGAAGAAACTTCAAAATCCGCACTAAGCGAGAATGTATGGAAAACAATACTTAGGGTTAAATGGAAGAAAGTCTTAATACCGTACAAAGGATAAGAAATATATTGATTTAATCATCATTGCGCACTTCAGTGAAAAACTGACTTACAGATTACGACATAGAAGCTATAAATGGCTTCCGTCATGGCCATCTCTGGAATAGATGTTACATCACATCAGAGCCAAACCGTATAGCTCAGGTGTCATGACACTTACGACGTTTACACAACTTTCACAGCTACTAAAGGGTGTTTTTCTTTCGAGGTATAGAACTTTAAGTTGGCTTTACTTTTGAAGATGGCGACCGATTTGACAGCTGTCAAGTGATTTATTCTCAGTTTGGTTTGGCAATTCATGATGAATGACTCACGCCTGAACAACGCTTGCAAATTGTGCAGTTTTATTTCGAAAATAATGGTTCTGTGTGGAATACGTACCGCGCACTATGTCCATTTTGTCGTCGACAAAATCGTCCATCAGAGCTGTTAATTCGATTAACCACGAAACGTTTTCGCACCACGTTTACTCTAATTGATAACTTGCATCCCCAGAGACGCCGTTCGGTGCGTATAGAAGAAGCTATTGCTACTGTAGGGCGTAGCATTGAGGAAGACCCGGATGAGTCCATCCGCCATCGAGCACAGGAATTGGATCTGTGTCCATCCCCTTTATGGAAGATTTTGCGGAAGGATCTTGGTTTGCGTGCTTACAAAATTCAACTCGTGCGAGAATTGAAGCTAAACGATCATCAAGCAAGGCGTAGATTCGTTGAATGGGCCCAAAACGAGATTGCCGTTGTTCCCGATTTTCATAAGCGAATTTTGTTTAGCCAGGAAACGCACTTCTGATTGAATGGCAAGTCAACAAAAAAAAACTGCCGCATTTGGAGTGAAGCTAATCCTCAAGTCTATGTCGAAACACCGTTACATCCAGAAAAACTGACTGTTTGGTGCGCTTTATGGGCTGGTGGAATCATTGGTCCATACTTTTTCAAAAGCGATGATGGCCAGAACGTTACAGTCAATGGTGATCGGTATAGAGCCATCATTACTAACTTTTTCATTCCTGAATTGAACAATAATGATGTCCAGGAGCTGTGGTTCCAACAAGACGGCGCAACATGTCACACAGCTCGTGCTACAATCGATTTATTGAAAGACAGGTTTGGTGACCGCCTACTTTCACGTTTTGGACCTGTGGATCCAAGAGCTTGTGATTCAACACCGCTAGACTATTTTCTGTGGGGCTATGTAAAGTCATTGGTCTATGCGGATAAGCCACAAACGCTTGACCAATTGGAAGACAACACTCGCCATGTTATTGCCGATATACGGCCACAAATGTTGGGAAACGCCATCGAAGATTGGACTACATCCGAGCCAGCCGTGGCAGTCATAAGCCAGAAATCATATTTAAAATGTAATGCCACAAGATTATCTTTCGAATAAAAAAAATTCATGGAGTCGAATAATCCATCGTTGTTTTATTGCAATTTAAAGTTATATACCTCTAAAAAAAACACCCTTTACAGGTGAACATGAAGTTAATGATAGCTAGTTCCAAGGTGACATTTTTTCAGAAAAACCTCAGTGTCGTTTGAGATCGAGATTAATTTTTAGTTACGTATTGCGGGCGCGGAGAAAAGAACATCGATATATTTTCTTTTCCTATGATGTAAATAATGAGGAAGAATTCACCAAGAGGTAGCTTTTACAACTCTACATCACCTACGGCCGTATTCACCAATTCTGCGTTTGCCAAACTTATTTATCAGTTGTACAAAATATAACAGTCGGTTAAACAATAGTGGTATTGACCAAGACTTTTCGGCTTCTGATAACAAACTGACTGACATACAAAAACTTATTTAAGTTGGTGCCTCTTGACAAAAAACGAGAACCACATCTAACCTCACTTTATAGCTGCTGTGCGTTGTCATGCGGTTGTCGTTCACAGTGTCAGTTTTGTAATGGTTTTGTATCATGGAAAAGTCATACAAAAAGATCAGCTAAATATACATCAAGACACAATAACTTCCTCCAGTAAAAAATATCGAAGCATAATTGAATACAAAAAGAATAACTTGGTATTTAACAAGCAGAAAAATGAGTGTTGGGAGAAGCTTGCCTGGGTATTCCATTCAAGCAACTGGCCTCAGAACTGGTCAACAACTAAAAAGCAAAACAACCTAAATCTGAAGACAAGGTATCACTATTCTCACACGATTTGGATAAAGCAATTACCTTGTTCTCTTTTTGCAGGTGAATTTGTTAAACAAACTACATTTGTTGAAAAAGTGTTAATCCTTTTAGTTATTTTAAATAAGAGTATATGAAGTATTTATCACTAAATTGAATTACTATTTCTGTTCCCATGAAGATGATAACTTATAGACAAAGTTATCCGTATTGAATACATACGTATTTACATGATAATTAATTCTTTCATGACAAAATAAAAATTGATGAAATTATTGAGTCTCTTGTTGTAGTATTTTGAGATTCGGACCTGGATCTCTTCAATTTGTTCCATTTCAGGTCCATTCTCAAAAAAATTGAAAGTGTCATTCTGTTCTAAGCACATGTTGTACAGCACAGCAGTTGCCACAATAACATCACACATAGTTTCAAGTTTTAGCCTCCATATCAAGATTTGGTTTTCTTTTGAGATTGACTGGTTCCTTTCATTTATCGGTTCTGTAAAATTTTGCAATACAGTTTCTAATCGCCTAAATATGTTTATTTATTCTAAATCTTCTTTTGAACTCCAAATCATCTGGTTCAATCAAGGAGAACCTCCTAGTTCTTACAATTCTTTCTCTCGGGATATCTTCAATGTCACCCGTGTCTCTTTCCGAAGATTCTAATATGTCGGTAGTATCAATTCTACTGAGGCTATCCATTTTGATACTTATACAAGACAAGCCCTTACTCGCTGTTCGCTGACTGTATTTTATAAATTACTGCTACGAAATCTCCAGGCAAAGTAAAGTCGGGATGACACTTTTTACTTTTCAGTATTAAACAGTCATTTAGTGGTTTACCAGTCCAACATCGCGCTGTTAACTTATCCATGTCTTTAACAGACTATTTGCTATCATGTGTTGATGGTGAATACTAAAAATGGATTTAACAATGTGTTAAACAATTTAACAGTCTGTTAGGGAATGGTGAATACGGCCGTTAGTTACTTTACAACTGGTAGTTAGAGAGGTTGCAAGCATCTTCAACAAGCCAGTTCAAAAAAGCTGGTGTGTGATGATATGCTCTAGATAGAGTTATAACATCTCCCTACTCAGGAAAACAGGGTTGAAGATGTTAAAACGTTGGCGACAAAATTCATTGTTAACTAGCTGACGGCTAAGATATATTTTCGGATGTTCTTAGATGGTATCCACAATCTATTTAATCAGTGTTGGCGCAATACTTGTCAACTCCAACTGAATTGAAATTTCTTAATTGAGAATTCGTCGATCAGATTTGAGAACTTCTGAGGGCTCTATAACTCCAGAGCTAGCAAGAAAAAATATGCGAAATATAGCTAAGGATTTTATGAGGAAATCATGAGAACGCATATAGGATTATTTATAACTACGTGGTACATGAAACACGATCTATTTCTAAAACGAGTATAAAGGACCTGGAACGTTTGGACGTATATCAATAGTGCCCTCAATAATATCAACGTTAATTTAGCTTGATTGATTGCTGATTTGCTAATTCATTAATTAGGGAAACATCGCAAATCCAGCTTTCCTGAAATGGGTTGTTGAAAATGGTCGAGACCTCCCTAAATGTGATATCAGAGAGCTCCGTTTATCTCTACTAGACGTAGTTCGACATTTTAGGCTTCGGCTTTGCACCTGCACGCCTCGTTAAAATTTAGTCACATTCATTCAAAGTGGTTTTGGATGATTTCAAAAAAAAGCTTATGAGCCTGCAAAACCCCATGTGCTATTTTTAAAAGAAACTAAAGTTTGGTATGCAACTCAAATCTTGCGTGAATATTGAGACACCCTTTAGCACGCCAAAAATGCATTTACTGTTAGCACACGGAATCACCGGTCTTGTATCTGATCAAACGTAAAGCTTTGTTGCTGATGAAGCTTGATCCATTTTTCACTTATTGTCTTCGATCTGATTCGGTTGAATCGGTTACCGTTAGCCTAACTGTCCCTGTGTCCGACAGGAGGCATGGCTATGGCGCCCATAAGCATATTCACCATAATTTGAAGGACAGTAGGCACGACAGGTCTTAATGTATGCATCAGCCATCAGTGGAATTATATAATACAAGACAGCTAGGCCCACGCGCTACAACACTGTGGTCGAACGCAATGGCGTAGTTTAAAGGGCTCTAATCTGTACGTTTCCCACTGATAATACCACTTTTTCAAACAAAATTCAAGAGGAGGAATATTGGCGGTCCCAGAATTCATGTTCAGCAAGATTTTCGTCTTCCGCTTTTGGATTTGCAATTCCAAATATCTGAGACGTTAACTTCGATAAATAATTGCTTTCATGGTGTAGAAAAGATGCACGGAGTTTTGATGTTACCTTGGTCCAGTTCGCTAGGTCTTTGGGGGTATTCATATGGTCACCAAATAGATTAGTTGATATGTGCACCTGCAATACCGTAGTATTACATTAATCCTACCTCCATGTCTGAAAATGAGCAGGAATGTTTGAAACGTTGTAACACTATGTTTCAGCGATTTTTATTTTTCATCCGTAGTTCCGCAGCCACTGAATCAATTTTCAAAATATACTGCCTACCTACCCATCTCGTCAATTCTGGTCAGTCTCAGTCGAGTCAGTCATTCTGTCTGTGCTGAATCTATTGTGAATGCGTATGTTGTAATTTGCGTTTTAATTGCAGTCCTCGGTAGGCATAAACGAGCATTTGATACTAGTGAAGCATCAACAAGTGCACAGACGAGAGAGGTTCCGAAAATAAAATAAAGAAAATATTCTCAAGACTACTTAAATTTTGGGCTCACATGTACTGAAGTCAATGAAGAAGAGAGGCCTCTGTGTAACATTTGCTCAAAAACTTTAGCAGCAGAAACCTAATAAACTTAATTACTTAAACGACATTTGGAAACGCTTCATAGTGAGTAGTTGAACAAGAAACATTTTAGAGAAAACTTTGATTGTGAATGAGAAAGCTTTACTTGCCTCTTATAAAGTTTCATATGAAATAGCCAGATGTAAGAAGCCTCACACTATTGGCGAAGAGCTTATTTTACCAGCTGCAATTGAAATTTTAGAAACTATTGTCAACTCCATACCTCTATCATATGATACGGTTGCCCGTCGAATTGGTGAAATAGCTGCAGATGTACAGCATCAGCTACTCGGGAAGTTGCGGGACAAGTTATTTTCAAATCATCTTGATCAGGCAACGGACAGCAATGAAGAAGCTCATCTTATTGCCTAATTTCCATTTTCTGGTGGCATATCAGTAGTAGAAGAAATACTTTTCTGCAAACCCATAGAACTCAAAGCAACAGCTCTCGCATTATTTGCAATCTTAAATGATTATATAATCGAGCAAACATAGAGTGGAAGAATTGCGTCGGAATATGCACCGATGGGGCTCGTTCAATGTCCGGAAGATTTGAAAGTATGCATGTCCTTATAAAACAAAAATCTGCATTGTACTTCTGGACACATTGCATGATTCACAGAGAAGCTCTGGCTTCCAAAGAAATGTCTCCTGGCCTGAATGTTGTGCTAACTACGGTTGTAACAGTAGTTAATTACATAAAAATGAAACCTTTGAAAACTGGAATCTTTCCTGCACTTTGTAAAGATATAGGTGCAGTAAATTCAGCATTAATATTATATTGTGAGGCAAGAAGGTTATCACGTGGAAAATGTTTACAACGTGTTTTTGAATCAAGACATGAAATTGCCGTTTTTCTAGAAGAAGAAAGCCGATCGGAAGCCGAGATGTTTCGAGATGGTTTATTTCTAATGAAATTCAGCTACTTGGTCGAGATATTCGAAAAACTAAATATCTCCAAGGAGCAAATACACATATATTAGATACGGGTGATAAAGTTTTGTAGAAAATTGGAAGCATAAATTTAAACCAAAAATCCTGGAAATGTTTGCAAACTTACAAGGTTGAAGAACATCACATGAAATTTGTTTTCATAACCATTGAAAATCATTTAGCAATGCTGACAAAGAATTTTAAAAGATATTTTCTTGCCAACGACAAATTAATACTTAGTTACGAGTGGGTTAGGAATCTGTTTCAAATTACTCCCGAATGGCTCTCAACTGCCAAAAAAGAAATCTTCATAGACTTGATGACCAACGCCGAAATTAAAAAACAGTTTAATAATAAATCCCTCTTTGAATTTTGAGCAGTTGTGAACGACGAGTTTTCGACACTGAAAACCAGAGCGTTTCGTATACTTCTACCATTTTAAAAATCCGATCTTTGTGAATCAGGATCTTCGGCGGTGGCTGCTTTGAAGACCAAATATAGATCGCAGCTGAATATAGAAAAAGAACTCAGAGTATCTACTTCAAATATTAAACCTTGTTTTGACAAGCTTTGCTCGTCAAAGGGAGTCACTAGTTATTATTATTATTTCTTACAATTAATATTATTAAACTTATTTTTCATTTAGTATTCATAAATACAGTCCTGTTTATAAGTGTACCTACTATGTATATCAGTGTTAATGTGTATTTTATTTCTGATTATGTCAGAATTTTGTTTTCCGTTCCTTTTAGTAAATTATTCAATGTTGATAGTATTTTTTTCTGATATGCTCGCGGCGCTCCTTTAATATTGACCGGCCCCCCTAAAGCGATTATTATTTTTCCTTCTTCCGCTCTCCACTCTGCCGCCACTGGATAGATTTCCAAAAACTACAAAGCTTTTTCGTCCTTGGCATAGTAATAACCCTGTGTGGAAATTTTATCAAAATCCGACAAGTACTAAAAGACAGACAGCCACTTTAGGCAGCAGCGGTGGACCCAGTAGTAGACTCTTCGGTCTCCTGATCAGTCGCCGTGCGCTGTGCGTGTTCGAGTCCCGTCCCAGGATAAATTTTTCTCTTGGTTATGGATGTTGTGATTGTCCGTAGGTGGTAGATGGTCTCTGACTGTCGAACGCGGAGGTACCACCCGACGGTTCTCGTAGGCGGAGCCAGAATGTGTGCATGTTGCATGTACACGTGTTTCCCTCGCCAGAGACCGTGTGGCGTTCCCCCTTTCCCCTGTATCCCCCTATAGCCCCACGGTACCCAATGGGTGTTTAGGCCGTAGGCATTCGTGGTAGTTGGAGTATAAAAAAAAGTCTGACGGTCAGAAAGACAGGCAGACTAACCGTCGACAACGAGTGACATCTTTTTTCGTAATGTACATGTAATATAACGCAAAG